GACCGGAATCGAACCTGGGGCCCTTCAGTCCTCAGGCTGACGCTCTATCCACTGAACCAAACCAGCTAAGGCTAAAAGTGTATTTTTAAAAGTCTAATAATATGTCTCTAAATAAACTTAGTCATAGTGTACATTTTATCTCTTCCACATTAACTATGACTCTTTAAATGGGAAAAGTATATGCATATATGAGTTCACACCATGACAGTAATATTATTTCATGCTTCTCTTCCTACTGAATTATACAAACTATTTTTTGAAACCTGAAATAATTGCATAAGCAATGCATAATAGCTAAACAAAAAAATAATGTGGAATTTTAATTCATATTGATACAAATTGGGGGTGGATTAGAGCTAAATGGAGGGGGAAAAGGCCAACAAAATTCAGTTCCAAGTTTTTTCTCTCTAATTCTATGACCTTAGATAAATTTCATTTTTATTCTGTAAGATGCAGGCAAAACCTGCCCCCTACCTATCTTTTGGAGCTGCTGCAAGATTTATTAAATGAGGGGGGAAACACTGTTTAGAGGACTGATGAAATAGGAGTTACATAAATACAAAGCAGTATTCTTATCTCTAAGAAGTGCATGAAATTGAATGAACTTTGACAACATCCTTATGAGTGAGGATGCTAATCTTAGACTTATTTTTACAGTTAAGAGGGCTCACCCCCTCCTCTTAAAGCCACATCTATTGGGTGTATGAGAAGAGGTACAATCACTGGACTCGTATTTGTTGATACCTGAAAATACTTTAAAGGAAAGTTTTTATTTTGTTTTGTTTTAATTCCATCACCCCTTTGGCAGGCCATGAGGAGTCTGCACGTTATTCTCTCATTTTCTTCCTTTTGTTCTTCATGAAATTGGTCTGAAATGCAAGACACCTTGTCTCAATGGTATCCAAGGGGAACCAAGGATTTTGAGAGCTATTAAGAGACATTGTTCTACTGATGAGACATATAATGTGATTTAGTGCAGCCACGGCCAAAGTGTCCATCAGATGTGGAGAGAAGAAGGAAAAGGGGGAAAGGAAAACCAATGTGACAGCTAGTGTCGTTCATGCTGTAAGGGTATGTGTGCAGCAAACACAGCACTCTCTTTAACATTCCTCTCCACCCTCATTGAATAAAAGCAAATATTAATTGGAGAATACATTTTCCCTTCAGCCTAAACAAACTTGCTTACTTATTTCCAAAATTGCTTGCTCAACATTACTGAAAATGATTCTAATTATAGTGCATGGCACATAGTAAATCATCAATAAACGTTATCTGCTACGAGTTGGATTAGGAGTAGAAATAGTGTTGCATAATGTCAAAAATATATTTGGAATAAGATACCTAGATTGAAGCCTTGTCTCTTACACTAACTTGCCTTGTGACTTTGAGTAGTTTAATGTAATCTGTAAAGTGTTATTTTATGATAAAATGATGGTATTCAACTGAAGTAAATTTTGAAAAAACAACACACAGAGACACACAACATATGTAAATATGTTAATCAGTAATTAAGTATTAATAAGGCCATTGTTTTCCTTTGTTAGATTAATTTCAGAGAGGAAGGGAGAGGGAGAAAGGATAGAAACATCAATGATGAGAGAGAATCATTGATTGGCTGCCTCCCACACTGAGGATTGAGCCCACAATCGGGCATGTACCCTGATGGGAAATAGAACTGTGATCTCCTTGTTCATAGGTAGACGCTCAATCACTGAGCCACACTGGTCGGGCAGTAAGGCCATTATTTTCTTTCTGCACACTTTGATGATGGCCATTGTAGAGATAAGTTGGAGGACAACAATTATGGAGTAGAGAGAGCTGTCAGGAGTTTTTATTGCTAGTCCAGGTGATGAAGGGTGGTAACTAGACTCAGGGGGCGGCCTATTTTTCATATGCACAGTGAAAGGCTCCTTATTGGAATTACAGATCCATGTTCTTTACTGGCCTTTGATATCAACTATTTTCCTAATAAATGATCCATGCTTCATGCATTGTGTTCATAAAACCTACTAGGGTGCTTAGTGGGTTGTTGGAATAAAAACACCTTGAATAGACTACCCCACTTCCCTCCATAATTAGCCTATTTCTTCAAGTCTTCTGGGACAAAAAGGATGGTCTAGGAAATTTCTGGCACTTTCCCTTTCTGCTTATTAACCAGAAAGTCATGGGGATCAGAGCCATAATATATAAAAATAAATTTGTTTATAAAAACATACACAATACAACACTTGAAGCCAATTTCATCCATATCTGTGTAACCTGCTTCTCAAATTACTAATTAAAATCAGGCAGTAAAAAAGTGTCTGCCTTCTATGAATTCTCAGCAAATGAACTGTAAATGCTTTCACTTTAAAGGGGTCATTGTGATAGGTATGTTTTGAAAGATGGAAGTTGTCAACTCTTTGGGGAGGAAAAATCCACTCTACTTGTACCAGGTCTTCCGGAACAACTTAATTTTGAAACCAAAAGAAATCTACATTTCGCAATGATAGATGAAGACCGGAAAATTCTAATCCACTGATTTCTTTTCTTCTGTTTCACTTGTCTCAGTCCTATATGTGGATGGGAGCTTATTTGGGTTCTCATTCTTGAATCTGGTTTTCCTCTTTTGGAGGAATTCTCACGCAGGTATCCAGACTGGAAAGAAGCGTAGCAGGCCATGGAAAGGAGGCATTAAGCAAATGATTATGCAAAGCTCTGAAAACCTTTCAGAAAGAGGAAAACAGCTGTCCTGGGCTCTGACAAAGAGCACTTGCAATTTGGGGAGGAGAGAGGACCTCTGGCTCTCCCCTCCCCCTATCTAGAAGCCACACCTGCCAGGCTCTGTTCCTTTCACAGGAAGGCTCAGGTGTGTGCACTAAAGGTGCCTCTGGAAGCACAGAGTGTGTCTCCCCTAATGACAAAGAGGACCCTTGCTTGTCCTCTTAAATACACACATTTATAGGCAAGGAGCCTGCCCTCCTAGGATTTGTCCTAAGAACAATAATTTAAATTATTTTTTGTAGCACAGCTCTGGGTTGGATTGCTATAAGGAATTCCTCTTGGAAAACATTCAAAATAAAGGGTTAATATTAATTAAAGAATAATTGTCACTCTGTTAATTTCAAGCTGGTCCCATCACAAACTCAGAATGCAGTAAGGTTACCTCTGCAAGTGGGAAAATGGGCAAAAATCGAATTCAAAATTGGAAATTGTACTGTTTTGCTGTGGCGTTCATTTATTCAGTCAGTCAGCCTTCATTGAATAATGTAATAGTTGCCGTCTGAGGGGAAGCGTTAGTAGGCACATGAAGACTACAAAGAAATGTGAAGGTATTTCAACCCTTAGAAGCACACTTTCTATTTGAAAAAGGCTTGGAGATTGAGAAATTCTTTGTCATTTTCAAAGCCCATTCACCTGCTATAAATCTTCATCTGAACTTTTGAACAGTAGCAGGGGAGCGGGGCGGGGCGGACATTATAATCATGCCACTGCATAATTTTAGGAATGGAAAGAATTTCAAAGGGCTTCTAATGCTACCGCTTCAGTGGTTCTCAACCTTCCTAATGCTGCGACCCTTTAATACAGTTCCTCTTGTTGTGGTGACCCCCAACCATAAAATTATTTTCGTTGCTACTTCATAACTGTAATTTTGCTACTGTTATGAATCGTAATGTAAATATCTGATATGCAGGATGTATTTTCATTGTTCGCGACCCACAGGTTGAGAACCGCTGAAGCGCGTAGGGGAGCCAGAGATTGCCACTTGTCTGAGGGCCGGCTCAGCAGCGCTGGGCTAGGCACCAATGACCGGATCCGTGGAGCGCCACGCCCCCTTTCCTGCATTTAATCCCATAGGGATCTATAATACATACAAGACATCTATAATACATGAACCCACAACACATACTCCTTGGATTCATGACTTAGATTTCTTACCACGTAGGGCACTGTGTCAAGCCCTCAAGATGAAAACAACATAAACTGGTCCCTGCTTGCAACTTGCTCACAATCGGGTCTTCCTGTCCTCAGTGAGTTTGCAGTCTCCTAGCAAAGCCGAGATGCGCGCCCTCCACAGGCGGGGAGTTGGGGTTCCCGGGCAGCGAGTGCCTTTGGAGGTCAGGAAAGGGATCTGAACGTGAGAATTGATGGGAATCCTCCCCGCCCCCGCTCATCACTTAATTACATCATTCTCCGCTGTCGCCTTTCGGGCCTGGACACAGCCTCTGCTCACGGGCAGGTCAGGATGCCACCGCACGGAGACAAGGAAGGGGGAATCCAGGCGCCCAGCTAGCCCTCTTTTCTAAAGTGGAAAAGACCTGGGTGGGGAGCGGGGAGAGAGCCGCAGAGACCGATGGAAACAGCAAACCGGGAATCGTCCCCCACGCAGTGACCGCTCC